GCATGGTGCGTTTCTTCTAACCGCACCGCACTAAAACTGCACCGCACCCCTTAAACCGCTTGTCCCGCACCGCTCTAACCGCTGTCACCATTCGAAGCCATAGACTATTTAAACATGGTATATTTCTTTATTGGACATATTCTAATAAGCTAAGTAAATCAAAGAAAGAAGCCCAACTAATACCATATTTAAAGGTAAAGCCCAAATCCTAAACATTTTTACTTGTTCATCAATATAACCTAATAAAAGATTTCGATAATAACGCGGGACGATTCGTGTTTCCTTTTTGAACATAAATGCAATATTCTGCGTTATAAAGTCCGTGTCTTCTTAAGTTAAAAACCCTAAACCTTTTCGACTTGTCCATCTTCTTTGCGCTTCCTCGTCTTCCATTTGCGTAATGGCTAATCGCGAAGGAACTGACCCGATGGAGGGAATTCACAATGTGTTTGTGCAGACGAGCCTTCAAACTCGTCTCGCGATACTCTCTCATAATCATGTAACCATCTCCGATTTCAGAGGTCAGCAAAATCTACTCAAATAGCTTCTAAACTTATTATACTTGTTCCTGCGTTTCCGATTATCCTGATATACATTGTTTGTTATTGCGTTTGTGATTGTATCATTTGTCAGACAATTTTTGCAAAAAACATAAACAAAGTTTCCCGGAATTTGGAGAAATCAGTATTTCTGCCTTGAAGGTACGAATTCTGCTTTGTATAATTCATACGTTTTATTTGGTTGTTAGGAAACAAGTGATGAGTGTGTTTCTTTCACGAAATAATCAGGTTAAACGTGGAGGTCACTTTTATCGCTTGCCTTATTGTATGTATATGAGCAAGGCTTTCGAGGGGGCCAAAACTACAAACTGGTTTCTGAATGTCAAAGAGTTGAGAATGGTGAGTAGCTCGTGGCTATAATGGCTGCTGACCAAAAGGAGTTTGCAGTTGATTCCAAGGGTCTGGCTCTCGAACAAGGTTTGGAAACAAGTAAGAGGAAGACAAAGATTTTGGATGGAAAAAATCTATCTTTGTTGATTATGGAATGCGGTGATTCTTGTTATCAGAAGTTATTGTAAAGTGTCGCTTTGTTTACCTTTGTTTTTAATATATGGATGTTGTATAGACACTGAAAGCCGCGAAACAGATGGCGTTACCATGGGAGACAATCAGCAAACTTCTTATGCAAACCAAGAGCTTGTAGATGGGCATGCCAAGGATGAGGTGAAGGATGTGCAAGCCAATCAAACTCTTAAAGAAACTGGTGAGAGTCAGAAATCATGTAGACAAGTACCAAGCCTAAAGCTAGATGATCTTACGGGAGCAATAGAACAAGGTCATTATTTTTATTTTTAACAAGTGGTTGAATTTGTGATCCTTCATTAGATGTATGGTATGCTTACGCGTGATATAATTTCTGATGTTCAATAGATCTTACAAATGGAGAAACAACTACAGGTTTAGCCAAGATCGACCAAGAGAAGGAGCTTGCACCTACTTCAGAACTTGTAGAAGGGCATATTACTTCAAGAGATGATGCGACTGAGAGTCACGAGGCATGTGCACAAGTACAAGTTGCTGTTGCTGCTGAGCATTGTGATACCTTACCAATAGATGATTTACTTTCAGGAGCAATAGAAAAAGGTATTGATGGTGGAGTTTGATATCTCAGTTTTCAGATGTTTCTTGAGGAGTTTTGTTAAATTATTAACCCTTTGATGAAAACGTTTGAATCTTCCATAGACATCGCAAGAGGTGAGGGAAGGAGTTTGGCTCCAGGTGCTGCTGCAGATAATCTTCAAACTGATGAACTGGTGACTGGCCAAGAAGATCAGTTGGAGGCTGGCAATGATTTCACAACCGGACCGGACCGGACCTTCTACAGAGAAGATGAGCTCAGAAGATGACATTTTGCTGATTCTACGACTTCAACAAAAGTTGTGACTGAGATAAACAGAGTTGCTGGTAATGTAGATTGTGTTGATACTAGTTATGATTCTTGTC